ACAACAAAGTTTCGTCTGCATTCATTTTGTTTCCTAGCTATCATGACCCATTTTCAAGCTCATTTTTTGAATATTAAATAGGGTTGAGGAACGTAATGAATATCAACTTGGCACTGTCGATAGAGAGAGAGAGAGAGAGAGCCCCCCCGGGGGGGGGGGGGGAATTAATTTCAACTTGGAATATTAAAATTACATGTGACATGGCAGGGACTTCTTTAATGAATAGTATAAGGGTAAATTACATCACAACTCTTCAGAGATTTGTCACTTAATCGCAATAGACCCTCTCACATTTAGAATATTACACCTAGACCCTTTAAGGTTTATGCATGTGCAACACATAAATCCTTGTCGTCAGAATTCGTTAATATACCCGTTAGAATTTCATGATGTCATCATGTTATGCAAGCATAATCTCTAAATCTTTACATATTTGAAAAGAAAAGCAATGTTACATGAATTAAATTAAATTTTTTTAAAAATTGTATCTTAATTACAATTTTTTTTTAAAAAAATAAATATTTATTTTTAATTTTATATCAATAAATGATACAATAGAACATGAATTTTAGTTATAAAATTTAAAATATTTTATATTTTATATTTAATTAGAGTATTTTTTGTCTAAGTATAATATTTTAAACTTAAAGGTTCTAAATATTATATACCCACAAACTTTAGGGGAGTCTAACTGTAATTTATTAACAGATATATTTACAACAGTGGTCTAAGTGTTATGCGCGTACACACCTCAAGTGGTTTGTATATAATATTTTAAATGTTAGGGTGTCCGAGTGTAATTCTCCCTTTATTTTTTCAGTTATCTCCCCTATTTTCTCTAACTGTTTCTCTTTTCCCTTATTCTCTCTCTCACTATTTTCTCTAATCGTTTCTCTTTCTCCTAATTTCTCCGTCTTTCTTTATTTATATCAATATTATAACAATACAATTACACTAATCAGTTATAATTATTCTATAATACACTAAATAATTACTCATTCGTTCTAATAAATTAAACAGATATATCAAACAATTACACAAAATTATGATATTAACCCAATTTATCATTAAGTTGTTTACATAAACTAAATAGTTGCACTATTTAGTATTGTAACATCGTTATACCAATTATATATACTAAATTCAGTATAATGATAAAATTTTTTGTGTAATAATAAACTCAATTTGGTATATATAATTGGTGTAACTATGTCGTGATACTAAATGATGTAACTCTTTGATTTATGTAAATAATTGAATGACAAATTGAGTTTGTGTTGTTATTTCATATAATTGTTTAGAGTAATTGTTTGGTTTATTAGAATATATGAGTAACTGTTTGGTGTATTATAGGATAATTGTAATTAATTAGTGTAACTGATTAGTGTAATTGTGTTATTGTAACGTTGATATAAGAAGAGAGAAAAAAAAAATAAAGGAGAGAGATGAAAAAATTAAATTAAATCTTTACATATTTAAAAAAAAATTATCAATGCGAGAGAAAGAGAGAGAAATAGATAGAGGAAATAGGGAAGAAAGAGTGAGAGAGTAATGGAGAGAGAGAGAGAGAGAGAGAGAGAGAGAGAGAGAGAGAGTAATGGAGCAATAAATGGTTTTTTAGATTTAAAAAAAAAAAATGCAGGCCAAATAAATTTTCTTAATGTAATTTAGTTCAAATAAGTCTAAATTTTTGTACCGATTTTCAAATTATCCTAGAAAAATACTAAACATGCAATTAGAAACAAAGTGGCGAGCTGGCATGTGAGCAGTACGTGCTTTTCTTACAATTTTTACTTTTTTTTGCTCTATACTTATTTTTTAAAAAGTTATTTATTCAGTCTTGCCAATTGGTGCTTTCAGTGAATTTTTAAGGTTTAAGAAATGAAATCTTCAAAGCTAGATGGCTATAAAATGTCAAACAAATTGCAATTGAATTCTAAAACCATATTAGATTAATTTAGCTCATTAATTCAACATTATCTTACGAGATGAACTAGAATGTTAGGCTTGCATTAACCTAGAATGTCAAACATTATACAAGCAAACAATGCAGGCAATGCTGCTGTAGCTCTGATGGCAAGTCTTGACCCCAAAAATACAAAGAAAGCCAATGAAAAACATTGGCTTAAAACCATTCATGTCAAGAATCCTACATGTTCTGTTTTGCCATTTACTAGACTGAAATGACAAAATCGAGAAAAATTATTTTTTGAAAAAAACCCTAACCAATCTCAAGACAATGTCACCACAAACGACTAACTTCACCTTCTAATTTTTTTCTCAGGGCCGGCCCAACATTATGAAAATAAAGCATGGGTTTTAAATTCTAAATTTTTAGAAGGCCCCATAACTTTAGATACATCACTATTCTACAAAAAAAAAAAAATTAAATCCATTAAATTTTAAGTCCTACAAAAAAGTCCCAAAAAATTAAATCCAATAAAAATTTTATTGCAATAATTTGGACTTATAATCAAATCCATAATATTAAAAACTTAGGAAATAAAAAAATACTCAAAAATCAACTCATATTTACTCTCTCTCTCCGGTAAAAAAAATAAAAAACGAAAACAAAGGTTGAAATTAAACACTCTCTCGCTCTCTCTGTAGTAAAAAACAAAAATAAAAGTTGAAATTTCTTTCTTGACAATATTAACATATCATTCTTTTGTTTTCCTCTCACATAAAAAATTAAAAATAAATTAATTTTTTTAAAATAATAATACAAAAAATAAAAAGGCCTTCATTTAATATTTCTGCCAAATTAACTTGAGTCGCCCCTGCTTCTTCTTTGTATCCTTGATTGCTTCAGAGTCATGTGTGTAATGGAATGGAATGAAAAACTGTAACCACCTTCAAATCTTCAAACTAGCATGGGTATTCTAATTCTTCTAAGAGATATTAAAGAGGTACAAGAAAGACGCAATAAGATTGAGGTAAGTGTGGAAATTTCTTAATCTATGTGGCTAGAGGGACATTTTCATAATTGTAACTAAATCACAAAATATCTTCCGATTTGTTGGGGCATTTTGGTCTTCTACTTAAACTCTATTGGTTCCGTTATTGAAATGACAGGGGTTGTGGACGTAATATTTTAAACGTAAAAGGGTCTATGTGATTAAGTGAAAAATTTTAAGAGATTCAGATGTAATTTACACATAGTATAACAGAAAGATTCCCTCAGAGAAATCAATGACAACAGATGTTTTTAATATGGTTAGAACTTGAGAAGGTTGGAAGTGACTCCAGTCACTTGAAGTTCACACGTCTTCGGAAGAAAGAATGGATGGTCCATTGGGTTTTTGTTTTTGAGACAGATGGGCACACGTTGAGATGACACGTGTTAATAGTTGAACAACATTTGTCGTTTTGGGCAGATGTTTGATCTAAAGAATATGAGTTGAGTATACCAATATTCTGATCATGAATTTAAAAATTAGAATTAATAATCTCAATAATTGATTTTACTGTAGGTCTCAGTATTTATTAGGACCCATTACCTATTTACTGATTGAAATTATCGAGTTTAATTTTTAAATCTATGTAACATTATTCTATTATGATAGTCTCATCTGTTTGGAGGAAGATAGCCTGAAACATTGCCATCACTACCATTTAAGTGCTTCAAACGATTCAAAGTACTTGGTGCAAAATACAAAAGAACTCTCTCTACTTCAGCAGCTGAGATGTGCTTTAGGAGTAATTTGTCAAAAGTTGAAAATTGATGTCAATGACGTAGTGAGAGTTATATCCTTAGAGCTTTCTTTTTCATTGTCCGGTTGGATGAAAGTACCCTTTTATTCTAATCAAAATTATCACGAGGACTTGCATTTTGACCAGACCACTAGCTGCATTTCTTCTGTGAATTACTCGTATGTGAAACGCAATCAATACTTTAAATCGATATTACTACTTTTTGCACATGATTTGGAAACACAACTACCCCTTTATATAAGAAAGTAATCGTTGGACTTTGAATTCCTTTCTTTTGCTAGTTGTCCGTGGATATATAATGCTATTGTAAGAACTGTTTTTGTTATGTCAGAAACTGTGGAAATAACATCATCATCGGGTCAGGTCAGGCAATAAAATTGTTTGGTAATTGATGCTGCTGCCCTCCACGGGCCGACTTGAATTTGATTCTCACCATTGCTTTGGGGCAGGCTTCCCTCCCATCCCACCCCACCCCTACTACACAAAATATTTTGACAGATGAGCTCACCAGTTTCTGATTCCTTGTGGTTATTTGGTTGATGCCTATCTTCTATAACGAACAATTCACTTTATTTTACTTTCAGGAACAGTTCGTGTGTGTGCATTTACTGTCTTAATATACCAGAGGCGTGCCTGGATTTCCTGAGCATAATGACCTACACAACATGTACATTGTAAAAAAAATAATTAAAATGGAAAAAAGGAAGATGTAAGGGTAAAGGGAAGGACGGATTGGTAATTTTGTAGAGTTGTATAAACTTCCAAAACACAGAGTCCAAAAAAGGCACTCTCAGTAAGGACGTCATGAAATAGTAAGTACAGTATTGGGCCCCAAACAGGCGCCTGAAGGCGGATGGTTTCAGTGCGAACTTTGTCTGCGTGTAATGGGCACCATTAATTCCAGAGACATGGATAGAAGCCAAGACCAATGACTCTCTCTCCCTCTCTCTGGTTGGCTGTCATTGGTGAGTCCACGTCATCATAACATATAGGGGAAGAATACTCTTCGAAGTGCACACGGACACCCATCTCTTACACGGAATTACTGGTTGACTTTACCCAATAGTTTGTTCTCTTGAAATTAAATTGAAAATCATTTTTAGACATAATGATAATTGTTATTAGTTGGAAATGGACTTGCCCATTTTTGATTTGTCTATACTATTTGTGTATATATATATGCACGCATATCACAGCCCTATGGTGTTCATATTGGGGGTCTCACATTCCGAATAGCTAAGCTCTCCCCCTCTCTCTCTCTCTCTCTCTCTCTCTCTCTCTCGAAAATGAGCAATCTAAACATGGTGGAGGCGAAGTTGCCACCAGGGTTCAGGTTCCATCCAAGAGATGAAGAACTAATAAGTGATTACTTGATGAAGAAGTTGACATGCTGTGAACAACCTCCTCTTATGATCGAAGTTGACCTCAACAAGTGCGAACCTTGGGACATTCCTGGTGAGTCCACCTTCTCTCCCATCACTTCCATCATGTCACCACTGCCCTTTTGCATCTTTACCATGTTTTGCATGTCTATTTGACTCTCGCTTTTTGTTTATATGGTTACAGATGGGTATTGGGGTGTGACTATTTGCGTGCTTTAGAATTGGGTTGGGTCTGGGGGGAAGTGTCCGGGCGAGAGAGAGAGAGAGAGAGAGTGAGAGTTTTAGTCTTCAAGTTTTTTTCTGTATGTTTACGGAATACATCAATGCTATCTTCCTCTTTCGGCTGTGGATGAGGTGATAGCAACTCTACTGGTTTTAATTAAAATCACACATATTTGTGCACTTTGCATTATCTTGAATAAATTACATCTGAAATAGCATTGGAATATCTTTGATAATGTAAGGACTGTGGTAATCTTTCTTTCCGGTAATCGATGTTGTATGTTCCATCGAAGGCACCAAGGTCTTTTATATTTTATCTAGATTATCCTTGATTTCATCTAGTAATCCTTAATCCCAAATAATCTCAAGTCCTAAAACTATAGTTTTACTAATAGTCACAAACTTTTCATATTAATACTTCAAAGTATACACTTACATATTATTATTAGATGTGGGAGATTAGAACATTGGTTGCATAGTATATTTCAAATATATCTCTAGGGGCTACTCATCAATGAAGAGCACCTACCAGAGACTACTTCTATATGCTTTTATTTGGTTTTCTTAATGTTAGATGTCTCCTTTTTCCATGTAATCAAGTTTTAATCACTTCCATTAGTAATTTACCTTGCTAAAAGATGGGTTATAAGCTTTCTTATATGTTTTGTATAAAACAAAAAATTTTGTCCACTAAGATTATTGGTTTTATGGAATATATGCACAGGCACGCACATATCCTTGTTTATTCAGTGTATGTGTGTTTTTCATATACTTCTCAACCATATCTTGAAATTTCCTATTCATTGCTTTTAAATGAAATTGACAGTATTCTTGGCATAGTCCTAACCAAAAGACGGAGATAGTTATGGAGATAATAATACAAACTTAAAAGTCGTATCCTCACACTCATCCACCTAATGTCTATCACACGCGTGTACACTCGGAACAGTTTAAATTGAAATACACTTTATTTTTCCCTTAATTCTATCCAATGAATTTAGGACTTGTCACCATCAGTAACTTCAAAAATTTCCTTCTCTTCTCTTCTCTTCTTGAGAAAAATCCTTTCTTTTCCACCCAATTCGTTTTCAAAAGAACAGTGGGGGAGGAAAAACTCTTTGACACATTTATTACCTGACCAATTACCACTAATACCTTTTTATTTTCTTCTAACGGTCAAGAATGTTTGGATTAATTTATGTATATCTCAGCTAATTTTCTTTTCGGTCCGGTCAAAAGCAACTCATCTACAGTAGAACTACGAAATTCATGAGAAATAAATCTCTCTTATATTAACCTTAAATAATTGTTAAAACTTAAATTTAAGATGTCTGAGTATACAATTCATCTTTGTTATCATTTGAGTTACTAACAACTTATACCTCTAATAACTGTCCATTATGGAACAAAGACACAGATACATAATTATTGGACTTAAGGTCATCTGTCATAGACAAAAAAAAACGGTGGCTCACCAATAGGGTCACAACATGCTCGGCCACGTGGCTGTCACCAACAGGTCACACTACCCATCCACCCATCATGACCCTATCGATGTTGACACTGAATTGTACTCTTGGTAGCATAGATGTAACATAGATGCTCTGTTTGAGAGGGGGAATGGTATTTTCATTGATAAAAAAATAAAAAATTAAATATAAGATATATTTTCAAGACATATTTGATTATAAAAGAGATATCGGAAGAAAGAACGAATACATCATTACCTGCTTTTGTCAACATTTTTTGTACATCTCCTAATTAGTGAAAAAACAAAGTAAATAAAAGCTACAAGTTTTAGCCAATGGTGTCCCCTTAGTTAACTGTGATGGTATTATCTGCTCTATTATCCTTCATTCTTGATTAATCAGTTCTATCATGGATTGTATATTGTTCGATATACAGAAATAGCATGTGTGGGAGGAAAGGAGTGGTACTTTTACAGCCTGCGTGACCGGAAATATGCTACTGGACTGCGAACAAACAGGGCCACGGTGTCAGGGTACTGGAAGGCCACTGGAAAAGACAGACCGGTCTTCGGGAGAGGAACTCTGGTGGGGATGAGGAAGACCTTGGTGTTTTACCAAGGGAGGGCACCCAAAGGAAGTAAAACCGATTGGGTCATGCATGAGTTCCGCCTTGAAGGACCCCTTGGCCCCCCTAAACAAACTTCTCCCAAGGTTTTCTCCTTTTCATTTTATTGTTTCTCTGTATATTTTTGGGTTCTAACATAACAATCCTAGATTCTAGGATCGATACTAAGATTTTAAGATCGATTACAAACACTTTAAAAAGTTGTAACTCCTAAAAGAAGAAGTACTATGATTTATTAGAATTATGTTATACATATAGAATCCGACTTTGGCTTATTAGTCATGAGACGCAGGTGAATTAGGAAGCATGATGGTAGCTGACATATGATGAACACTATTCAATAATGCTTCAACAACTTATTTTGTTATTTCTCTCTCTAAGGAGGTGTAAAGCATGATAAAATAAGATAATGACTGTAATACATTGGCTTTAGAGGTTCTATTGATATTTCCAAAAATCTAATAAAAAAGTGCATAATTCCATAATGAATCATTGACTTTATGCAAGAAAAGCTTAACCTACTCCCTTGTCCTCTAAACATCTTTAACTATGTAACAAGCTGAAATCATCCACTGACTTTTTGCTCCAAAACGAACTCGAATTTGTTTAATTGTGGTAAATTTGATTACTGATTCTCTCAAGAGAACGGCGGTTACAAAGGCACATTTGCATCCATATTTTTATTCTGTCTGGCTTGTGCATAACAGCTGATTAGTTTTGTTTCATTAATGTTGAACTGATAGAAAGATATATATGCTAAAAAGCATGATGGTCAGCTTTAAAATATGAGAGAATGCAATCCTTAATTATTTCATTGATTGCCAGAGTTCTTCTTATTATCTTTTCTTTTACTTAAATCCTCTGGTAACCCCTTTTTTTTGGGGTGTTTGTATAAGCAGGAAGATTGGGTGTTGTGCAGAGTGTTCTACAAGAACAGAGAAGTTCCTGCCAAACAAGGGTTTGGAAGTGACTATGACCACAAAAGCTCTTCTTCTCTTCCAGCTTTAATGGATCCCTACATCACCTTTGACCAAACTCAACCCAATATTAATCAATATGAGCAAGTGTCCTGCTTCTCCATTTTCAACCCAATCCAAACCTACCCAACTTTCTCTCAGATCACCCATATTGAGCCAAACCCATCAACAAAAAATAGTACTATACCCATCTTAGGAGGTATGCCTGATGTGGGTGCATATTTAGACCCTTCCTCTTGCAACAAAAAGGTCATAAATGCTTTCCTAGATCAACTTACCAAGTTGGAGAGTAATCCTACCATGAAAGGTTCTCCAAGCTTTGGAGAAGAGAGTTCAGAGAGCTTCTTATCTGAAGTGGGTTTGTCTACTATGTGGACCCACTAGTAAGGAATTCAGAGGGGTTTCCCCAGGAAAGTTGTGGATTAATATTGAATACATTACAATAGGTTATGTAATATATGGTATCTATATGGTTAGAACTTTCAAATGTTAATCGATTTCCAATATTGGAAAAGCATTTCAGGTGGAAATTTGCATGCTTTTGACTTCTGCTGAAGACTTTCAGTTTCTTTGGAATACAGATGTGCTGAGAAATTTTCTTGTGGTACTGCTTTTCTGGATTGAAATTTATCTTGGCAACTGTATTTACATAAGAACACCAAATTATTAGAGAGAGAGAGCAGCAGTTGACTTTTATTCTCATAGACCCTTTAAGGATCAAAATCCTCCATGTATTCACTAAAACTCACAATTTTATGTCGGTCAAACTAGTCCAAGTAAAAGAACTTGGTTTGAGTCTTCTTTTCACATATCAATAAGCATGGGCTCCGATAAATATGAGTAGAAAAACACACGGATTAGGTAAATTATACATATAAGTTTCACGCAGAAAGACTCAATTGATACAATTAAAGAGTTTAAATACTCAATTGATATAAAAAAAAATTTAAGGACTTAATTGACATAATTATCATAACTTAAGGGTTCTATATGTAATTTACTCAAAAGATTAAATGGGGGGAATATGCCATATGTAGTAGTGGCATTGTATAGTGAGGATGGTATAGTAATGGTGCTACATTTTATGACATTTGCCATAATTTATCCCATCCCAATAGCAAATTTGTAATGGAACGAGATTATTTAGCACAAAACAGGATAGTAAATCTAACTGATAGGACAACATAGAAGAAATACACCATAGTTGTTTGAGCTTTCACACAACAACATTAAAAAAAAGTGTTCATGTTTAAACAAATAAAAGCATGATGGTCAGATTAAGACTGAATAAGAATGCTTAGAACTTAAGAAACATAAGTTTCCATTTGTAGCTAACAATCAGCTGGGGGGGAAATTAAAGTTGACTTGGAATAACATGATTTGCCAAAAAAAAAAAAAAAAATTGTATAACTAAACGATAGAGTTAGAAAAAAAAAAATAGTTAGGTGCGACGTCGATAGGGCTGATAATTAACTTGACTCGAGTTTAGCTTTTATTTTAAATGAGTCGAATTTTAATAATTTTTTAGACTTATTTAGAAAACAAGTCAAAAAGACTCGGCTCGTTTATATGTAAAATAGTTGAGCTACTAGGGCTCGACTCGGGTTCGGATCATTTTGGGCTCGCCTCGGGTTTAGTTCATTTTTTAAACGAGTCAAGTTTAAACAATTTTTTAGGCTCATTTAAAAAAAATGAAATCGATAAGCTCGACTCAAGTTTGTAAAATTCGACTAAATTATCAGCTTTTAATATCGATAAGAATTGTTGGGGGTATCATAAAATTGGTTTCCATGGCCATGGCCTTGGTTATTATATGTTGGGGGTACCATAGCAGCAGGTTGCTTAATTTGTTACAAAAACCAAAAATCAACTATAGCATATATTTTAAAAGAAAGATTTTTGTATTGGTTGAATTGAATTGACACTTGGAAGATGTTCAAGAAATTTTATTTTATTTTTGGTGCTTCCGTAAGATGATGCTAAAGAAAGAGAACACACTAACAGAGCGATTTGGTCATGTTTGAAAAATGATGACTATCACTTTCATCCTTGTAACTAACAGGTAAGAATACAATAAAGAGAAGAAAACACTCAATCCATATGAGCTCACCATTGAGATTCGCTGACCAGATTTCACAAGGCAGTGTTTGGTATTGCTGTTAAAGCTAGGGTCATATGTATTTTCTAACCAAAAATGAAATAGAAAAGAAAGAAACGATCTGGAGGAGAGCTCAGGATGAATTTCTTCTTCGGGTTTGGTTCGAACATAGAAATCAATCCACTGTACCAAACATAGCCTAAGATGATTGATGTAAATACTCCCTACAAAAGACTAAGAGTAAGAGCTGGCTGTGGCATATATTTTCTCACAAATCCTTACCTAATCTTATTGACCAGAGGAAATGACATGAATCCTTACATCATTTCTTAATCTTTCCTTTTCAATCTCACACGAGGGCCTGCTACCAAAGGCTTTTCTATACTCAAATTAATGATTGAAAGTCCAACCAAACAATGGCAGCCTTAGTAATTATCAGCGTTGGCGGGACTCTAAGTGGTACAATAGCCCTGACCGACACGTGTAAAATTATAATTATAGAGCCCAAAGGATGCCGAGTGTTGGAGCCGAGAGATGACGGCTCGGAGGAGTCGAGTACACTCGCATTTAATATTTTAATTACATTATTAAAATTCTTGATATTGAATATAATTTTATCAGTGTTATTATAAACAAAAAGCTTAATTGCATTAAATGTCTTCAAAGTATGAAATTTATCTTATTTTGATCATAATATTTTAATTACATTATTAAAATTTTTGAAATATTGAATATAATTTTATATTACCCTTTAAGCAGATTGGTAATGATTTCTAACTAGAAGAAAAAAATACTTCGAAGATGAACCTGATTATGAGCTTGACACGTAATACTTAAATGAGGGTAAAAAAATATTTTAGATAACTCTTGGCCAGAGTTACCCAAATTAAATAGTTTTGTTCTAGAGTTACCTAAATTATTTTTGCCCATATTTGGGTATAACTTGACAAATTTATGATAAAAAATTATTAGTAATTTAAATGTTGTTTGTTTCAGGGAACATATAGAAACATATTCAATATTCCAGGGACCAAAATGATGCTATTGGAGACTAAAATAAAACAAATTCTATACTTTTGGGACCTCTAATATAATTAGTACTAATGAAAAACATATATGTAGACACACATATTATATGGATAATCTTACTATAACATAATATATAGTACAAGTGACATCAATAAAAGTAATAGTTAGGTTGAGTGTGGAGCCCGAAAGCCTAATTAGAATCTCAGTTTGACACCATTTGAAAACAACTTGTGACCAAACTCCCACAATAATCGGGCCCCAAAACGACATATTCTCTAATCCTTCTAAACAAAGTGGTGATTTTTCAAAGATCCAAGTCACTTTCTATCCTTAAGTACACAATATAAAAGGGTGTTTGGCTGGTGGGAATGGATTGGATATGTTAACAAATGGCAAGGATTTTGGGGTAATTCCAATCCAAACCTGTGCTTGGACATTTGATTATTTTAATATTTGATTATTTGGGGTATATGGATTATATAGGAGTATAAATATCATTTTTGTACGTTCAACCCTTTAATTCTCATGTGAAACCCACCCGCCGCCATAAAACCCATGAACATGGGTTTAAATTCGGGCCTAAAGCGGGTTGGGTTTGATAACCTAGACTAAAAATGTAATTGTCAAACATGAGTTTGATGAATTTTGTAGACTTTCATTCCCAACCCATCTTTCAAATTTCTCCTTGTCCCACGTATTAAACAGGCCCAAGAGTAGGTTTTTTGAATAATAGCAAACTATAATTAGTCCAAAACTGACTATTCTATTCCATTATTCAACATAAGTTAAAAAATAGTGAAAAATTACAGAGTCATAAAGTTTCACAAAGACCAAAAAGAATCGAGCTACACAAGACCAATGGTAGTTAAATAGACGGCAAAAGGTCCAGATATTAAATTGCTTTACAATTGTTTTAGTTGCTAGTACAGTGGGTAAATCCACAATGTCAAAATGTAGGTGAAGAAAACATGCATACAACTACGATGTAGTGTGAGAACGGTCTCATTTAATTTAACACACACTAAAATAGTTGGAGTTGAACTCCCGGCTCAAGTTCAAGCCCAAGCTCAAACCTAAACCCAAGACCCAAATTTGTTCTTAAAAATAGGGATAATTGGTGCTAAGCCCTCTCTTTATGAAACTTATAATTAGCTAAGTCCACTACTTAGGACGTGTTTGTTAACTCAAATTAAGTATTTAAAATAAATATATTCAGCACTTATTAATTAAGCCCATTTGATGACCAAAATTTAAACTCTCTTAATATATTAAACGCTCCTTAAAAATATGATACAATATTGAGTATGAGATCTCTTACTTAATTCTGAAAGCTAAAAACGCTCAACAAAATTATCTTTAATAATATTTACAATATGACAATTATATCCTGAAATATTTTATAAGCCTATTAAAACTCTAATTAGTCTTCTCTTCAAAACTCCTAACTTGTCGAACTCCTTTTTTTTTTTTTTTTCTCTTGTTTTCTGTAACAAAAATATACATATATAATTATCATTATACACACAAACGCACGCACTATACACACACACACACAATTGCACAAAGACATATGCACTGCACACACACACACGGTGCACACACATATTGTTAACGAAATCTTATTTATTGTATTTTTTAATTTTATTTGATTAGTTATTAGCTATTGTTCTTTTTTTATTAGATCTTATTGTTCACTTATTATGTTATATAAAGTTATTGTTTACTTATTGTGTTATTCAGATGTTATTTATTTTGATCAAATATTTGTTAAATATAGACTACAATATAATAATAGTGATTACGATTTATGTTATGACATATTTTATAAATATTTTCAAATTAAATAATAGAAAGGTAAAACTAAAAATTAATTTATTTTTAGACGTTAGTTATATGTAGTTATCAAACAGTTTGTTTTAATTCAGTATTTAAATTTCAGTAAATATCAAACAATCCACAAATTTATCAACTTTCAACTTTCAATTTTAATAAATACAACCTTAAACATATTTGAGAATAAGTCTTATTATAATTTTTTTAGTAAATAATTAAGTCCAAAATGCCCTTTCTAAAACTTTAAAAAGGGTTTCTAGTCATATCTTCCATTTCCGATATTTGAAATAGGACCCATATCATAAACTCTGGGGATCTACTGGTCCATGTCAGACTCTGGCATTTAAAGGAAGCATTGTGATCATCCATTGTTGATTGAAACTATTAGCAAACGTAACACTGTAAGAAAGGGTGCTCTGCGGGATGGACTGCACACTGCACAGACCTACTCTATGGCATTACTAGGACAAAGTGTCTGCCTCCAAGTTGAA